GGAGCACCACCAGGAGTAATTCCTGAGAGTCAAGAATAGTCCCTGAGCACCACTGTGTGTGACTCAAAAAACAAAGAGAAAGGAGAGAGAGAAAGAGAGAGATAGAAAGAGAAAAAAGAGTTAGAGAAAGAGAGAGAGTAGAGAGACATGGTAGATAAAAGATGAGAGAATTTGTTAGCAAGTGACCTAAACTGTAATAAATGTTAAAGAAATTATTTATTTTAAAGGAAAATTGCAGGCAAAAATCAGATCAGTAAGAAGGAATAAAGAAAACCATGAGCCCAGAACATGGCATTTCTATATGTTTATTTCACTTTTATAAATATATTTGTTTATATGTACATACACAGATATAGTCATGCATAAAATATAGTTAATATATGCTTAGATATACTTGGATAGCCAGAACAAAACAGATGAAAACAAAACAGATTCTGGATTACAGAACCCTATAAAAAGAAGCAAGGTAATAATACAGAAAGGAGTCCCATTTATAAGGGAAAAAAAGTAATTTTCAGGACACTCATTAAGCATGGTGTGGAGTCATTCTGAGTGCAATTTAGATATCAGCAGAAGTAACCTTCTCCGAAGTCTCCAGTCCCAGATAATTGACTCCAATCTCCTGTTTCCATGTACTGAATTTTAATTCTAGTCTCTGCATATTTGTGTTTTTTCCTTTGCTATTGACACAGCTAAGGGTGGTTTTTTTTTTTTTTAAAGTAAAAAGCAGATTTTATTTGGAGATTTTTTAGGGAGGGGAAAGAGGGAAAGAAAGTGAGAGAGTAACATGCTCAAAAGAGAACATGGGCTTCTCCAAAGGCAGAGATCCCCTACACACACACCCCAGCATTAGATATCACTTAATCACTTAACTTCCCGTTAGTTGTCGATTTGCTCGAGCGGGCGCCAGTAACGTCTCCATTTGTCCCTGTTGCGTGCTAGTGTAGCCCAATGGCATCTGTTCGCTCCGGGAACATGAAGGGCCTCAAACCGATCGTTCATGATCTTGACGAAGAAGTCTGACCATCTGGTAGGTGGGCGGCCACGCGGTCTCTTGACATCCCGTGGAATCCAATCAGTAACAGCTCTAGTCCAACGGTCGTCTTTAAATCTCATTACGTGACCAGCCCATCTGATTTTCGACACCTTGGCAAATGAGACAGCGTCCCTGATCCTTGATCGTCGACGGATGTCAGAACTCCGGATTCGTTCTCTCATTTGAGTGAAAAGTGATATTCCAAGCATAGCTCTTTCTATTCTTCTTTGGGAGACCTGAATGGCGTTCTCATCTTGTTTGCGTAGGGCCCAGGTCTCTGAGGCGTATGTTAATGCAGGAAGAACAGTGGAATCAAAGAGATGTGCCCGGAGCCGAAGGTTCTTCGTCCTCTTAGCTATTTCTTCGACGTTCTTGAAGGCGTTCCAAGCCGCTCTCTTCCTCCTGCGCAGCTCGGGTGCCAGGTCATTTGTCATGTTGACCTCTCGACCTAGGTACACATAGCTGTTGCATTCGGAGATGGTCGTTCCATTGAGAGCGAATGGGGCGTCAGGAACAAGGCTGTTTCTCATAAACATTGTCTTCGTAAGATTCAGCTGTAGTCCTACCTTTCCACACTCACGGTCAAAGTCGGCCAGCATTTGTGCCGCTTGGCTGATGTTTGGTGTTATTAAAACAATATCATCAGCAAAGCGGAGGTGGTGTAATTGCCGACCATCTATCTTCACTCCCATTCCTTCCCATTCCAGTCGTCGCATGATGTTCTTGAGGGTGGCACTGAAGAGTTTCGGTGAAATGGTATCACCCTGCCGCACCCCTCTCTTGACATCAACGATCACTTCTTTGTAGAATGGTGAGATCCTGGTAGTGAATCCGCAATACAGCTCACGGAGGATCCTGATGTATTGGGCTTGAATGCCCTGATTGGCTAGGGCTTCAATGACCGCTTCCGTCTCAACAGAATCAAAGGCCTTCTTTAAATCAATGAACGTTAAGCAGAGTGGCATCTTGAACTCCCGAGAAACCTCAATGAGCTTGGTTACCGTGTGGATATGGTCGATGGTGCTGAATCCTTTGCGGAACCCGGCTTGCTCGCATGGTTGTCCTTCATCTAGTGTTCTGCCAATCCTATTCAGGATGACTCGAGTGAACAACTTGTAGATGACAGACAATAGGCAGATCGGGCGATAGTTGCCAATGTCATGGATGTCTCCCTTCTTGAACAGTAGTACGGTCCTGCTGGTTTTCCATTGGGACGGAACCTTGCATTCAGACAGGTAGCGAGTGAAGAGCCGAGCCAGTGTATTGATGAGTACTGACGGCAGGTTCTTCAGGTGTTCAGGTCTGACCTTGTCTGGGCCGGGTGCTGTTTGCTTCTTTACTGACGAAATGGCGTGTCGGATTTCGGAAGGGAGAACGTTGGGAACGACATACCCATCCTGTGGAATTTGGTATGTCGGCAAGTGGACATGGCTATCGAAGAGATTTGAGTAGAAGTCATGGATAATCTTCTCCATTGCCGTTCTGGAGGATGTGATGGATCCATCAGGACGTCGGAGGGCAGTCATCTTGGTCTTATAGTTGGCGAAGGACAGGCGGGCGTTACGAATACTTTTCCCGGCTTCTGCCGCATCTACCAGTACTTCTGCTCTTCTCTCTTTGAGGTCTTCCTTGATCGCATCTCTGCACTGCTTTGCAAGCTCGGACGTTAGCTTGCAGTTGCCTGAGGCATGCGCCAAACCACGCTGGCGAATTAGCTCAAGAGTTTTCGAAGATAGGCGACTTTTTGTGGCTATCTCTCTCTTGGCGTTCCTCGCACATTCATGGAGGTGCTGAACCAGTCGATCGTATTCCTCGTCAATGTTGTCAACAATGGCATCTTCCCATGTTGCCGCAATAGTACCAAAGAGTTCCCAGTTGGTGGTCATTCTGGGAGTTCTCTTTTTGAACTTTGCAGCCCTTTCTCCCCGCTCTGTGAAGTAGAATTTTGCACGAAGGAGACGGTGGTCCGATCCCGTTCAAAATTTTGGGACAACAGCGACATCAGTCAGGCAAAACCGTCGATTGAATATGATGTGGTCTATTTCGTTGTGGAATCGTCCACCGGGAGACTCCCATCGTTTAGATTCTGCCTTCTGGAACTGTGAGTTACCATGGATGGTCTTGGTCGACATGATGAACTCTGACAGTCTCTCACCCTGTTCGTTCCATTCTAGGCCATGGGTCCCGATGTGAAGTTCTTCAGCTGATCTTCTCAGTCCTATCTTGGCATTAAAATCACCCACAATGATCTTGTAAAAGGTGTGGTCTTCTTTATAGAACTTCTCTAGCTCCATGTAGAACTTCTCGATTTCTCTTTCATCATAATGAGATGTTGGTGCGTAGACAACGAAGATAGAAACTGCAGGCAGTGAGCCACATCTATTCAAATGTAAACGTCCGATTCGGGTTGTTAGGCATTCGAATGAATCAATGCTCTTGGCCAAGTTTGTGTTGACAAGGACACCGATGCCTCCAACACCTCTTTTATCGCATGTTCCGAGGAACAATTCTTCTCCAGTGTCGAAAACGGCATGGTGAGATTCGTGCCTTCTTGTCTCGGTCAGACCAATGATGTCGTACTTGATCATTCGCACTTGTACCATCAGGTCCTCGATGGATGCATCTGATGCTAGCGTACGTGCATTGAAAGTACAGACGACTTTTTTTTTACAGACACGACTTCCACTACCCAGCCGTCGCCACACTCCAGGACGCTTTCCGGAACCGCGCGGCCGCAAAGTGGCCGCGACACATCATAAGACACTAAATACCCATCTTCTGGAATTGTCGTACCATATTTGATAGGGTTCAAATATGGTAACACCTACAAGGGTGATTAGAGGTCGCCCCAAAAGCCTCTATCCCTCTCGGAAAGACTGGCAAGCTACCGAGAGTATTCCGCCCGCACGGAAGAGCCTGGCAAGCTATCCGCTGTGTATTCGATATGCCAAAACCAGTAACTACAACTGGTCTCATTCACCTGACCCTGAAGGCTTCACCCACATGGCAGCACTGAGAAGGATGAGAAAGGAGAGGCCGACAAAATCTCAAGGCCGACCTAGGCTGCCACAACGAAGGAAGCATTAGATATAGAAGCATGAAAGTACACATCTCAAGAGGGGAGATGCAGGCAACATATGTTCTTGGCCACATGGGCACAAGCAGCACAGGGGCTCGGGCAGAATATGCACAGCCTCCCTTTGTTCAAAGTGGCTTTTATGGGGTTTTCCAAAGATGCTCCACATGAGACTTTCTGGCTAGGTAAGAGTCCTTTGCTAGGGTTATCTTCAAAGAGAGACCCATTGTAATTACTGGTTTTGGATATCGAATACACAACGGATAGCTTGCGAGGCTCTGCCGTGCGAGTGGAATACTCTCGGTAGCTTGCCAGGCTTTCCGAGAGGGATAGAGGCTTTTGGGGCAACCTCTAATCGCCCTTGTAGGTGTTACCATATTTGAACCCTATCAAATATGGTACGGCAATTCTGAAGATGGGTATTTAGTGTCTTATAATGGGTCCGGAAAGCGTCCTGGAGTGTGGCAGCGGCTGGATAGTGGAGGTAGTGGAGGTCTGCCAGTGAGGTATTTATCTGGTCCCAGTAGAGGTAGGGAGGGTCTTCTGTGTGCATCCAATCCCTGGGTCTCTGGTGGTTGGTGGAAGCAGACAGGGCAGGGTAGGGTGGGGCTCCTGATTTTAATCCCTTCGTCACCTCTGATTGGTGGGAGCAAGCAGAGAATCTCTGTCCCTGGGTCCGTTGAACCTGGAGTCCAAGGTCTCAGAGTTCTGTTTATCTTGTTCTGTGGGGCTTCAGTCGTGCATGCGTCTCAGCCGGAGTGGCCACGCGGGTCCGGAAAGCGTACTGGAGTGTGGCGGCGGCTGAGTAGTGGAGCTAGTGGAGGTCAGTGACAAATCAGTGACTCTTAGCGGTGGATCACTCGGCTCGTGCTTCGATGAGGAACACAGCTAGGGCAATCTCAGGTGGAAGATGTACGAGGCAGGAGAATCGTCAACAATGATCACTTTGCTCAGCTCCCGACCAAGGCGACTCAGGTCCTTCACGTAATTTTTGCGATGGAAAACACATGAGTCACAGAAGAGTCGGGCTTGGAACACGCCCCAGCGATCAAGCAGGTCAGCCACGGGGTCTGCATACTTGGCCAAACTGGCAGTAAAGAGCACACATTCGAAGAGCTGCCCCATCTTCTGGAGGAACTCGTCCACATGTGGCTGCTTCAGCACATACACCTGATGTATAGTTCCATTGATTTCAACCGGAACTATAAAATCGGCATTACTAATAGACTTGAATGAACTGTGCACCAATGTTTCTTCTAAATCAATGACCACACATTTCTTTCCATAGTCAAGCACTGTCACCTCTGGAAGGAGGTACTTAGCTGGTAGACTTGGGATGGGAATGACCTGCCTCTGGTCACCCTTCTGAAGCCCACCATTCTCCTCCAGCAGGGGCAGGAGCACATTGGTGCTGCTAGCTGGTGGGGCATCCACATTATAGTCCCAGAAGCAGCAGAAGAAGGAGCTGAGGATGCTGTGGCTCCTCTGTTTCTTCAAGCTGACACTGCTCTGGAAAGCTTTCTCCCCGGCGCTGGGCGCCCAGCCCTCGTCTGCCTTGGGGTTGGTCATCTGGGTGATGATGGCCCCCCACCAGCCAGGCGCGCTGTTATTAAAACAATGACATTGTTTTAATAACAACAAACATTAGCCAAGCGGCACAAATGCTGGCTGATTTCGACCGTGAGTGTTGAAAGGTCGGACTACAGCTGAATCTTACGAAGACAATGTTTATGAGAAACAGCCTCATTCCTGACGCCCCATTCGCTCTCAACCGAATGACCATCTCCAAATGCAACAGCTATGTGTACCTAGGTCGAGAAGTCAATGTGACAAATGACCTGGCACCCGAGCTGCGCAGGAGGAAGAGGGTGGCTTGGAACGCTTTCAAGAGCATCGAAGAAATAGCTAAGAGGATGAAGAACCTCCGGCTCCGGGCACATCTCTTTGATTCCACTGTTCTTCCTGCATTAACATACGCCTCAGAGACCTGGGCCCTATGCAAACAGGATGAGAACACTATTCAGGTCTCCCAAAGAAGAATAGAAAGAGCTATGCTTGGAATATCACTTTTCACTCAAATGAGAGAAAGAATCCGGAGTTCCGACCTCTGTGGACGATCAAGAATCAGGGACGCTGTCTCGTTTGTCAAGGTGTCAAAAATCAGATGGGCTGGTCACGTAATGAGATTTAGAGACAAGCGTGGAAACAGAGCCGTTACCGACTAGATTCCACAGGATGGGGACGTCAAAAGACCGCGTGACTGCCCACCCACCAGATGGTCAGACTTCTTCATCAAGATCATGAATGATTGGTTTGAGGCTCTTCGTGTTCCTAGAGCGAACAGACGCCATTGGGCTACACTAGCACGCGACAGGGACAAATGGAGACGTTACTGGTGCCCGCTGGAGCAACTCGATGATTATCGGGAAGTCAAGTGATCTTCAAAGGGAGAGTGGGAGTGATCTTTCAAACTCCTTTTCTAGTCTTTTGTTCCTGCTGGATCTTCTCTTGAAGGGTGAGTCCAGCCTTCTCTGATCTGGGTTAGCTGTTGCCAGCAACAGACCCAGAGAAACTCCTACAGAAACAAAAGACCTTGCACCCTGAGTTCAACCCCCAGCATCTCATATGGTCCTCAGAGCTCACCAGGAGTGATTCTGATGTCAGTGGGCTGCACAGCTGGGGAGAGAACCCAGGTTTTTCCTAGGGCAGAGAAAGCTCCTACACACATCCCAGCATTAGATAGGAAAGCTGAAAGTACACACCTCAAGAGGGGAGATGCGGACAACACAAGTGCTTAGGCACCATGTATGCTCGGCCACAAGGGCACAAGCAACACATGGGCTTGGGCAGCATTTGTGCTGACACAGCTAAGGTTTAACCCATGCTTCCTATTCCCATTTTCTGACTCAAAATTATTTTGAATAAAAGACTATCAAGAAGCAGAACTGTTATGTAGGGAAGATATACCCAATTTAAATATCTGAATCCAATCAGCATGTCTAAGAGGATGCTGTATTTAGATTGGTCCTACTTACATTGTTTGTCTACCTTTAAGCCTAGGTCCTATGACTGACAGCTTTACAAAGTCCTTACAGGAAGCATAGTGAGGATAAGATTCTGCTAAGAAAACTGATGCTTCACATACCCACAAAAGATCTATCAACGATGCTAACCAGAGAGCCACACGGAAATTAGCTAATTATAAAACTGAATATAGTTCTGGTGATCACTTATAGGGCCTATTATCTCATTTTCCCTCAGGTCTATTTTGTTATTCTCTCCTAATTGATAACTCAAAATTATACAAGTTTTATATTCTCCAAAACAGAAAAAGTCATTGGTGTCTTAATTAGAATTGATTACTCCTATGAGTAATTTTAAGAGATTAGACATTAGAATTAAAGTACCATGGAATTATAACACCAGAATTTTCATATAGGTATATATCATGGCTTCCTGCTTACTCAAACTTTTTCAATCTTTGAAAAAAATGTTTGCACACTTTCGTAACATAGAGAGGTATTAGAATAATACCTGATACCTAAACAGTCTTTTTTCAGAAAAATAATCAAAATAGAGGTAGAGTCATCACATCAAGATGCACTGCACAACTCAAGAATCTCCTCTACAAGGACTCTGGAATAGGTAACACTTCTGGGTTTATGTAACAAAGTCACTCTGAGAAGAATGAGAGTCTGTCGACGGAGCCAAAGCGATGAAAGGGCTGACTAAGTTTCACTGTATCAGAATGTGAGAAAATTTTGATTAATTTCTTGACAGAAAATTAGGAGAGAATAAAGAACCAGAAAGGGGCAAATCAAAGGAAGCAACTTATTGGATGGTTGGAGGAACATGTGTGGCTTAGAGGTGAAGTAATTGATGTAACATAAGACAATGTCCTCTCCTGTACAGAATGATGTTCTCATCATAATTCCAAAGAATCTTTCTAGGGCAAGGATAGGATGCAGAGAAAAGTTCATATTCCTGGTCCTGAAAATTAGTTCTACTACCCTACCAAAGATGGCAATGAAGAGTAGTGGAAGAAGATGAGGACTTGAAGTCAAGAAATAAAAGGGATTTCAGTGTTCGCTATTAGAAATAAAATTCCACATAAAAAATTTGCTTTCACAACATAGAATTCAGTAGTACATTTATAATAGCACTGTAGCACTGTCCTCCCATTGTTCATAGATTTGCTCAAGCGGGCAGCAATAACGTCTCCATTGTGAGACTTGTTGTTACTGTTTTTGGCATATAGAATATGCCATGGGGAGCTTACCAGGCTCTGCTGTGAGGGCGGGATGCTCTCAGTAGCGTCCTGGGCTCTCTGAGAAGGACGGAGGAATTGAACCCGGATCGGCCGCGTGCAAGGCAAACGCCCTACCCACTGTGCTATTGCTCCAGCCCATACTTATAATAATACTTATATTTTTAAATTTTATTTTTATACATTTTACTCTTCTTGTAGTTCAATTAATTTTAATATTAAAATGCAATCTGCTTGCCAGACTGTAAGTTTTATACACTGCTTAATTTTTATCATTTTGTTGTATTTTTATTTGTTCTTAATTACTGGTTGCTCGAGCGGGCCCAGTAACGTCTCCATTGGAGACTTTGTTGTTACTGTGTCTGGCATATCGAATACTCTCGGTAGCTTGCCGGGCTCTCCGAGAGGGGCGGAGGAATCGAACTCAGGTCGGCCATGTTGGCCGCTTGTAAGGCGAACGCCCTACCCGCTGTGCTATCGCTCCAGCCCACCTTAATTACTGGTATATAGGAATGTAAAACTGTGCCTGAACTCAAATGTATTTTATCATAAAAATAGTATGTGCTACTCAATGCCTCTTTGGCTGATCACAGCGCCCAGGAGGAGAGAGAGAACAGGGGGGAATGCCCTGCCACAGTGGCAGGGGGGGATGGGGGGATGGGAGGATGGGGGGGAGGGATATTATCCTGGTGGTGGAAAATGGGCACTGGTGGAGGGATGGGTATTTGATCGTGGTATGACCGAGATCCAAGCACAAAATTTGTAAATCTATAACTGTACCTCATGTTGTTTCACTAATAAAAAATTAAAAAAAAAAATAGTATGTGCTAGAGAATTGAGAAATAATAAACAATTATTACACTTTCCTCTCAAATTTCATTTTTCAGAAATCACACTATCTCATGTCCATATGTTTAAAAATATGCATTTCCCCCTTCAAATCTGACATTTAAGTTCATGCTTAGACACACACAGTGTCTTACTAGTTTCCTCCACTTAACCATCAGTCTGCCATAGATATTTCATAGTGTTGGTGCAATATAATGTATTTTATTTATTTATTTATCTTTTGACTTTTTGGGTCACACCTGGCAATGCACAAGGGAACTCCAACTCTGCACTCAGGAATTACTCCTGGTGGTGCTCAGGGAACCATATGGGATGCTGGGAATCGAACCCAGGTCAGTCACGTGCAAGGCAAATGCCCTACCTGCTGTGCTAATGCTCCAGCCCCAACAACATAATATATTTTAACTATCTACTGAAATATGACTATATTTAAGATTTTCACTACTAAGATTACTGTAATAAATAAATAATATTTTCTTGCATTCTTATGTGATATATCTATAAGGAATATTTCTAGAAAAGATATTGCTGGGTCAAAGAATAGACACACAAGAGATTTAAATGCTATGAAAATGTCATCCAAAAAAATTGTGCCATCCTGTGCTCTTACCAGTAGTACGTGTCTGAGAGCATATGTTTTCAGTCTCACCAGTCTGTGGTGAAACATGGAATGCTGTTATTTCAATATGCATTTTTTTAAAATCATGAATGAGATCTTGCACCTTATAATGTATTAACCATTTCTATTTCTCTGAACTGTTTCATTCTGTGGCTGACTTTCTTTTTCCACATTGCAGATAATTTCTGCAGAAAGTACATGTCTTTTGAGCTTTACATTAAACAGCTCTGAAATATCTCAGGTATACAATTAAAGAATATGATTGGAGTCAGGGTCATATGTAATGAAATTGTTTTTGATCCAAGGAAGAGATATCTGTCTCCTCTAGGACCCCTGGAGCCTCCAGTAGCCTTGGTTATAAAGTAGCTGACTAGTATTTGCACCACCCTTTTTAATACCTGAATGGTAGTTTCAGATAGTCACATATGCTTTAAGAAGCTGCCTGACAGCTTCTGTTGCAGATTCAAGACTCAGAATGCAAAAATCATAGTGAACGACTTGACTCAGCGCCAGCAACACAGAAAGTAGCTTTTCAAGGGTTAAGAAGGAGCTAAAAAACATAATGCCATGTGTAAAATGAAAAAAAGAAATGCTGGGATTGGCCCAGGTCTCAAGCACAGCTGTGAAAGAAATAGGGCAGCCGCAGTCCAACGCAAAAGAGAGAAGCATAGAACATGAGCTTGCATACTGGAACGCGACATTAAGATTCAGCAGAGGGCCTATTTATCATGGCTTAAATTCAATTTCAGCAGTTTGCCAACGAAAAGAAGCTCCTGAGTAGGCTAACTGTTTCCGTTTTGTCTAGTGGTGGTGGCAGGTTTTGGTTGCAGAAATCAGGCTCAGAATTTAAACTTAAAAGGAGTTCACT